ATTAAGTCATTTGGTGAAGGTGAGATTATTGACTTCTGAAGTGCTTCTCTCTCTGAAATATGCATTTTAAACAAGCCAGCGTCAATAGTTAGGTCATTTGGTGAAGTTGAGGTTTTTGACTTCTGATGTGCTTACCTCACTCAAATAAACATGTTAGTCAAACCACCAACAAAACTTGAGTCATTTGGTGAAGTTCAGATTTTAGTCTTCTGTAGTGCTTCTCTCTCTGAAATAAGCATTTTAAACAAGCCAGCATTAAAAAAAACGGGGCCATTTGGTGAAGTTGAGATTTTGAATCTCTGAAGTGCTTATCTCAACGAAATAAGCATGTCATTCAAACCAGCATCAAAAACGAGCTCATTTGGTGAAGTTGATATATTGATCTTCTGAAGTGCTTATCTGAATGAAATCAGCATGTTAGTGACAACAGCATCAAAAATTAAGACATTTGTTGACGCTGACATTTTTGACTTCTGAAGTGCTTCTGTCTCTGAAATAAGCATTTTAAACAAGCCAGCATCAAACGTTAGGTCATTTGGTCAAGTTGAGAATTTTGATTTCTGAAGTGCTTATCTCACTGATATAAGCATCTTAGTCAAAACTGCATGAAAAATTGTGCCATTTGATGAAGTTGAGATTTTGATCTTCTGGTGTGCTTATCTCTCTGAAATAAGCATTTTAAACAAGCCAGCATCAAAAGTTAGGTCATTTGGTGAAGTTAAGATTTTTGTTTTCTGAAGTGCTTATCTCACTGAAATAAGCATATCAGTCAAAACACCATCAAAAATTGTGCCATTTGGTGAAGTTGATATAATGGTCTTCTGAAGTGCTTATATGAATGAAATAAGCATGATAGTGAAAACAGCATCAAAAATTAAATCATTTGGTGAAGGTGAGATTATTGACTTCTGAACTGCTTCTCTCACTGAAATACGCATTTTAAACAAGCAAGCATCAAATGTTAGGTCATTTGGTGAAGTTAAGGCTTTTGACTTCTGAAGTGCTTATCTCACTGAAATAAGCATGTTAGTGAAAACAGCATCAAAAATTGTGCCATTTGGTGAAGTTGACATTTTGAACTTCTGAAATGCTTATCTCAACGAAATAAGCATCTGATTCAAATCAACATTAAAAACCAGCTCATTTGGTCAAGTTGATATATTGGTCTTCTGAAGTGCTTATCTGAAATAAGCATGTTAGTGAAAACAGCATCAAAAATTAAGTCATTTGGTGAAGTTGAGATTATTGACTTCTGCAGTGCTTCTCTCTCTGAAATAAGCAAGTTCAACAAGCCAGCATCAAAAGTTAGGTCATTTGGTGAACTTGAGATTTTTGACTTTTGAAGTGCTTATCTCACTGAAAAAAGCTTGTTAGTCAAACCACCATCAAAACTTGAGTCATTTGGTGAAGTTGAGATTATTCACTTCTGAAGTGCTTCTTCCTCTGAAATAAGCATTTTAAACGAGCCAGCATCAAAAATTGCGCCATTTGGAGAATTTGAGAATTTGATTCTCTGAAGTGCTTATCTCAACGAAATAAGCCTGTTACTGTAAACAGCATCAAAAATGGTGCCATTTGTTGTAGTTGAGATTTTGATCTTCTGAAGTGCTTATCTCAACGAAATAAGCATGTCATTCAAACCAACATCAAAAACTAGCTCATCTGTTGAAGTTGATATATTGGTCCTGTGAAGTGCTTATCTGAATGAAATAAGCATATTAGTGAAAACAGCATCAAAAATTAAGTCATTTGGTGAAGTTGAGATTAGTGACTTCTCAAGTGCTTCTCTCTCTGAAATAGGCATTTAAACAAGCCAGCATCAAAAGTTACGTCGTCTGGTGAAGCTGAGATTTTTGACTTCTGAAGTGCTCATCTCACTGAAATAAGCATGTTAGTCAAACCACCATCAAAACTTGAGTCATTTAGTGAAGTTCAGATT